AAAAATGATACTGGTAGCTCTGTTGAAGTACTTTAGTTTCATCGCTTTCGCAGGTGTGGGCACAGCTTCACCTAACGTGGCGTCGATCTACAAGGAGCCAAAGACCAGTGCTGCCTACTTCATTGGCCAGCTAGTGGACTTTGCGGGGATAGACAGCGACCTTCTATGCAATGAGTACTTGGCACACGGCACAGGTCAGATCTAACAGCCTTACCTCGTCTGAATCGACCTGTGATTCACTTCCTAGCGATTGCAATGAAAGTAAACAAGATATTATTTCTCAATGTTATCATACTAAATACCACCAACAATAAATTTGCCACAGTCAAGTTCTCGTGCTTCCCATCTGTTGGAACTGGTAGGAACTTGTAGAGCACAGTGGCCGCATTTCGGGTTTACTCACTGTGCAAAGTGAGGCCAACTGCCACAATTTCTGCACCACAGTATTCCACAATAATGCCCTGACGATTTGACTTGAGCCGATGGTTGGCTTTTGAATGCCCAGTAGTAAATATTCTGCAGTTAGGCAAAGGTAAGAAAGTAGACACACATAAGCAATTACTCATCACATTGCAATGTGTGGGCATAACGGACTCGTTCTTGCATCAGCAACAAATTGTTTGCACCCAAAAAAACATGTTTTTAAGTAATAACGGAAATCTTCATTAGAATGGGGAGGAATTAATGGCACAGACTTAAAATAGAGGATTTATTTTTAAGCTTAGACTTACACACCCTAGACTAGTTGCAAATTTAAAGCGACTTCTATCAGTAATCTGGAATAGTTTTGCCTATAAATTGTTGGAGGTAAGTATTTTAATGCGTATAACTGAGCATGAAAACAGAAGTGTTAAGAGAACTATCACTTTGCTCTAAAGAGGAATAGAGCTTACCCCTATTTGGATTTTATGTAATGTCTTTTTCGTGTTGACAGCGCATAAAAAAGGAATGATTAAGATGTAGTGCAGATGTAGTGCAGACTATTTTAAACGCGCGGTATTTGGAATAGTATATGTAGGTCAAGGCAAAAAAATCAAAACAAACTGATAAAGCAAAGCTGATTAATTACTTGCCAATCTCTGTTTTCGATAATCTTACTGTAATACGATAGTGGTTTATCCCTCGGTTCTGGTGAGGCGCCACTTGTACCTCGCTGGGTGAGGCTGGCCTTTTGGGCGATGCCAATAGCACAGACACCTCCGTGCTGAATATATATATATATATATATATGTTCTGCCCGAGTATTGTGTCTTCTTTCGTCTTCAGGGAGTCTCGGGACGCTACATTACTACTAAATATTTACTCCGTAGCATGCTAAATGACGTTGTCACACGTTTAATGCGGCGAAGTCTAAATCTTCGGAGCCATTATCTTCTAATTGATAACTTCAATATGAATAAGGCAAAATCAGACATTAAAGTAAATATGACAAAATTAAAAACCATTTATACATTTTGGTGCACCTACTTTATTAAACAAACGCTAGTTGGAAGCATTTGTGAAATGACAATATGAATGCTGCCGTAGCTAAGGAAAGGAGGATCTGCAGATGTCTCTATATGTTTCTGCATTATTCAGGCGACGATGCTTGCGGCATACTTTCCTTGAGGCACAGGGTTGCTGCAAACCACACTTCCACATAAGGCCATGTTTTGCGACTGTGCAAATGGATTGGCCTGGGTTCTATGGAGGTTCCAAACAGGGTATTGAGGAAATGAACATCAGAAAGCGAGGTCTTTGATGCTCATGCACCCACCCTCACTTAATTCTCTTCTCTTACCCTCTACAACATTGGTAAATAAAATACCACTCTGATCGTGGCCCGAATAACATGGTGGGAAGCCCACACGGAAATTTATCCTGTGTTACAAATAAGTCAACATTTACGCCAACTCCCTCTATACCTCTGTTACTAAGCAGTTAACTGCTCATTTAAAAAGACGTCAATTTATGCGCTCAAATACACTTTACGCCTACAGCCACAACTGCGTGTACAATCAGTTTTACATGTGGCGCCACACCTGTTCTAGGACATCACCGTTTATTGGCCGACTAGCTAATCATTTAAGTCGTTTATCATTGAAGCAATAAGTCAACTGCATGTCCAAATCACACTTTGAAAAATGTTTGAATCGCTCCTGAGTTGCTTGCAATATGCAAAAAATTCGCCACTCCAATTTTAACTCCACCGACAACTCTTCCCAATTCTTTATTTCTCTTCTTGTCTACTATCAATACTGCATACGGCAGCCCTATTGTCCAGCTCTTGGTTCTTTCACACTCACTAAGTACATGTGGAGCTTGAGGTCTGTTTCCCTCTGGATGCCTTTACACATGAAAGTAGACGTCTTCTCGTCCTCTATGCTAGCCACCACTCACCTATCCTTCTCTGTCTCTGCATTTTCATCTGCCTCCGCTCTTCTTACTCCTCTAACCTGCATCCACAAATGCAACCACTAACAGGATATTCAACGCCCCGTCCTTTGACACCCATTACCTCCTGTTCCATGACCTCTGTCGAACACAGCCTACTACCAGCACAATGG